AGTTTCCACCTTCTCATTGATGTAAAACATAAACAGTTCCGTTCATGCACAGTTTGCATCCTCAGAGGAGCTGAGCTGACAGTTTACAAGGAGGGACATGAATGGTCACCATGTACTGTGATAGCTGAAGATGAGAGCTGATGAAAACATCAGGACAGTGATTCATCATCCCATCCCAAATAAATCTGTTCTCTTTACCACTGGCTTGTAATTTAGATACTTTTCCAAAATAATAAGATAAAAATGGAATTGAATTCAGGCGGCACGTTCACCCGGGGGTGATAGGACAGTGAAGGCCCCAAGCATTTGGAGCAGGGCCATAAATCAGAGCTGTGGTGACCCACAGGAAACAGACTGTCTGCTAAGCACCTAGTGCCTCTCTCCCTCGCTCTTACACACACACACACACACACTTGTAACTTGACCATTATTGTTCACTGTATACAGGAGCAATGTGTACATGCTGACAAAATCCTTATCATTGCGAAAAAACTCCAAAGTAATACTTTTTTTTTTTTTTAAGTTTGTTGTTTTACTTAATTTGGTAAAACATCAGACTTTTAGTAACTAAACTTAAAGTTTAGTAACTAAAACTTTCATAAATAAATTTTCATCTGTGTGACATACAAATAACACTACATTTCAAAAAGCCTCAAGCTATTGTTGAAAAGCGGCAGCATGTCTATGGTGGCCACACTAAAAACAAAAAAGAAAAAAGAGTATGATTATTGAGAAAGTGCTAACCTGATTACTTGTGTGCTTGAGACATCTGGGATAGAAATGGTTTCTTAACTAACCATTGATGTTTTTGTATTTTAGAGACAAAACAAAATCCCCTTTTGCACCTGTGATTCTTTAATCCTTCGTAATGTTCAGGCTTTAGCATTCCTGTCTGATCTGCAACAAGCAAAGCATCCATTCTAGACATGTCGATACCCCAACCTCAGCATAACTGTATATAATTCTCTTTCATACATTCTTCCAGTCTGTCGTCTGAAACAAAATCCTACTGACAACACAGCATCTTTCTAATAACAGGAGACAATACTGTATATGTGCTCACAGAAACATGTTAGTTATGCTTTGATCAGACTGAGCTGTAAGTAAAGCTGAACTGAATAAAAGCATTTGAATGTCTTAAACAAGGAAGAGGAGCGTTTGCACTGTCTGTCTTGTGGTTACCTCAGGTAGTTCAAATATTTGTGTGTTTATGTTCACTATACAGTATGTAGCTTTGTGTATCCATGAGAATGGAGTGATGAAAGGGTGTCGAGGATGCATGATCTGATGAGTGAGAGTTAAAAGGTGAACTGACAGCAAAGGTGAATACAGTGTGGGTGTGCATGCGTGCATGTGTGAAATAGAGTGTGGAAGATGGAGTGTGGTAATGATCGTGTCTGATATCAGATGCCTGTGGTGTATTGTACAGAACTGTCACTTTAGGCCCCAATTATGACCAATCTTGTTGCTCCTCAATTTGTATATACAACAGACACTCAGTCATTCACTCACTCACACACACACACAAATGATGCAAGGTGACCTTGAAAAGCGTCTGGGTAACTGGTGTGTGTGTGTGTGTAAATGTATCCCTAGCATTTCCAGCTGAATCAGTAATGAGCATTTCATTACTTCAGCCTCAGTTCCCGAGGGAGGGAACACACACACACACACACACATACACACAC